AGAGGCAACAGAGGGCAACAGGGGGGAAGGGGAACACCCCTCAAAGATGGGGGTGCGAGGGTCACCACGAGAGGCTCCTACAGCGACTATGCTCTTCTCCGTTGCTAGGAGGGCCTTCTCTAGGAGGTCAACAGTGAGAGTGGTGGGAGAGACTGAGAGGAAGTGGTCCCTGACTACGCGAAGGGAGTCAGGGAGGCGGGTGACTATGTAGTAGAGAGTGATGTACATGGGGGGGGTTCTTGGCGCAGAACTCAGCAGGAAGCGCGGCGCGGTAGCGAGTGTCACCAGTGCGGAGGTGCGTAATGAGGTCAGCGACTATGGGAGAAGAGCGGCGGGGCCGCTGAGTAGGGCGATGGGGCCGGTGAGTAGGGCGGCGGGGCCGCGAATGCGGGCGGCGGGGCCACGCTAACGGATGGCGGGGCCGCGCTAACGGGCGGCGGGGCCGCGAAGCGAGCGGCGGGGCCGCGCTAACGGGCAGCGGGGCCGCACTAGCGGGCGGCGGGGCCGCTAGGGGAGGGAGGGCCGCTAGGGCGTAGGGGCCGCTAGGGCGGCTCGTCGAGGAGAGAGCCCGGGGCGCGACTCGGGAGGAGCGCACTTCGGGCAGGAAAAAAAAAATTCTCAATGTGGTGGGCCCTAGGCACAGTTCCCACGGGGGAACCTGCTCGATACCATGTGGAAAGTAGAACGAGAATGATGGACTAATGAATGAAAGTGATACAAATATGCAACCCTAGAAATGTGTACCCCATATGGGCTACCCCACTATAGCCTACACAATATTATAACTTGACACCTTCGCTCTGATACCATGTCAGAATCCCAACCACTAGACCATTGGGATAAAAGGGCTTGTTAAGTAGCGGGCTAGTGCGCCCACAAACCCCCAGGCCAACATGTCTGTAACCATTCCCTAGGATCAATCGGGAATCACCAGTGGACCTCTAACAATTCCGTGCGACGAGGGCCACCAAATCTTCCTGCACCTGCTCCCGCGCCGTATCCTCCTTATTAGTAGCAAACTTCATGGCCCTTCTGGAGTCCTTAGTTGGCGGGATCGGCCCTGGATTCTTCATGTTAGACTCGGCATTTTTCGACGACCTGGTTCTGCACGTCGGTGGGGCAGGATCTTGGTCGTCGGAGCTGCTGATAGTTTCGGGTTGATAGAACCTTTTGCGCTTATATGTCAACTGCTTAGGTTTCGCCATCTTTATCTATCAACGACTAGAATACAAATTACACCGGCTTATGAAGACAAGAGCAGGTGGGGTTGGCAGGAGGAACACATTTACGGGGAGCGCAAGCGGTGAGGATACTATGGAAAATGAAGGAGATAGAAAGGCGTAACCCTCTTGGATGATGCACATCTGGTGTGACCGTCATGTAGAGCTCCATAGATCTACACCGTTGGCGTAAGCGTGCATGCGATGGCCAGGTGTGATGCGACCACTCGAGAGGATGTGATGGTTCAGAGCCATGCAGATCCACGTGTGCTATACCTAGGGTTTCTGATGATGTGGTCGGAGGTTGAAGCCGGGTTACCAAGCAGATGCATGCAAGCGAATGTGCGGTTGTGTACCTGTAGTTCGAATTTTTTGATAAGGAGGCCGAATGACGCGAATCATGGTAACGATGTACGCCGTATGGTGAACATACGTGTATGTGTCTCTTCGCGCGCCGAGTCCCGGTTATTGCAATCGAGGCGTACATGGTTATTAAACTTGTACAACAAGAACACGTGACTGCAATGTGTTATGTTACGTCAGTTGAAGGTGGACTGAGTTTGGCAAAACTTTTGTGAATCGACATGACAAAGAATCAAAGATATGCAATGGTGTTGGTGGTTACAGAAACAGTTGATGATATTTTTAAAATCCCGATAAACAAGTTACAATCATTGGTGGGGCGGTTGGACAATTGTATATGCCGAATCACATACAATACATACACACATAATATAATTGTACCTTTCACTGCAACGAGTACGGCTATGTTCTGTGCGCACACCACACAGCTTCCTGCACATGCGTGTGCTCGAACCAGCCCAACTCTGTTGTACAAGAGTGCACCAGATGTGCTGGGCAGGGTTTTCACATCAGCAATTCCTAGGGTTTCACGGCTGTAGGATGGCGGGGAACAGTTGCCTGGTGTGCAAGACGGTGTTTAAGGACGACAGCAGGTTACAGTCCCATGTAGTGAATGGGGCTGTTTGTCGCGAGGAGTTGAAGAGGAAGCGTGAACAACTTTTGTGGGCGGCATATTTGGAAGCCGTTGCGTGCAAAGGAGAGGGTAGACCAAATACCCCACCGGCATCCAGGCTTAAAAACAACGATGGCAGCTTTCTCTCTGTTGCTCCAACAGTGTCGATACCTGAAGTTAGTGTGGTTGGCAACGCGGATACACCATCCAACAGCGCTAACGCCGAGTCTACAGAAGGCAACGATAGGACGGAGATTTTTGATACACTGTCAGAGTTGTACCTGTTTTTCTGTGATGCCGATCTGTCGCACCGGGAAGTTAACCGTCTGCTACACATTTTCCGCAACCCTCGCTTCAACCTAAGGGCTCTCAGACGATGGCGCAACTGGGTGGATGTGCGCCGCTGGGGCATGGCGCGAGCTCCAGCCGACATGGTCCCGTGGAAAACGGAGGAGATAGTGGTGAGGGGTCCCAAAGGACTGCAAATGAAGCTGCTACTGCACTTCCGCGACACCGAGTTGGTACGTGATGGGAGGCCAACCTGGAGGCGATGTCGAGGTGACGTGTAGATGAAGTTGGCCCGCATCATGTTCTCACCCACGTTTTTGCGCTACGCACAGAGATCTTGAAGAAGCTGGTGCGGACGTTCTCATCCAAAAAGGGGTTCGTATGGAAGCCGAGGAAGATATATCGGAAGAAGAACAACGAGAGGGTATTTGAAGGACCGGAGACAGGTGATTGGATGCACTCTGCTCAGGTACGCACATGTTTGCTGTTCAGTTGTCATATGTCGTGCATACTGGTACCTGCACGAGGTGTCACAACGCTCACCGGCCCGTGCGCTCTACATGGCAGAAGGAGATTAACGACGACCAGGCACTTGTACTAGGCGTGCTGTTTTACACCGATAGCACGCATGCATCATGGAATGGATGAAGGAACGCATGGCCAGTGCTGATATCACTTGTCAACATACCCGAAGAATTGCGAGGAGTGGAGCCCGGGCACACATTGGCGGCGGTGCTTCCATTCCCGCCAGAATGGGCGTCGCCCACGGAGAAGACGCGCGTGTTCCAGGAGGCGCTGAAGATAATACTCGTGCCCATCATGCCAGAGTCCGCCAGGTACTGGGAGGGGATGGGGGTGGGGATGATAACAATACACGGGCGGGGAAGGGGGACCACCCCAGTTAGTAGCCACCCTTTTGGGAGATATGCATACAATCCATCACTAAGTGAGCACTATGTGTGCATTGCGGCACTATGCAGCGTGCCAGTACGCTTCTTCTACTGCACAGACGCGGGCGGGAAGGTGCACAAGGCGGTTCCTTGCCTGTACGGATACCCTGTCGACTTCCCGGAATCCGGCAGAGCCTCCGCAACTCTGCAGCAAGGATCGCATCGGCCATGCGCTAACTGCTATGCTGTGAAGGTGGAGTTGACCATGATGGTGGGGAAGTGTGATCCACGGACCCCCGATCAGCAGAGGGACATTGTTTGTCAAATCTTGGCGTGCAAGAAGAAGGGCGAGGCAGACGATGTGCAGAAGTTATGGTCAACCCATCCGATCGAGGTGTGTTTGCTGGTGCGCGGTTTGGTGGTGCGTAATGAATGGGGGCTGGATATCATGTGGACTGTTTGACAACACTGTCTTGTCTGTGGGATGGTTGCAGTGCGTGCTTCAAAGGTGGAATTTCGCAGACACACTGTACGTGCTGGACTCCGGTGTGCTGATCCACATGATGGACTCCTACATCGAACCCCTTGGAAAGGTTGAGATGCGGCTGCTAGAAAGGTGAGTTAGGTGTAGTCGAGTGTGAGAGCGGTAGCCAACTATATTCTGCAAGGATTTAGGTGGGGTCTAGGCCCCCATGTGTGCAGCGGATGAGGACATCGTACTATGTATGTGCGCAGCCGCAAGAAGGAGTTCAAGCGTTTCACTCCAAGCGTTCTCCTCCGTATCCCTAGGGGATCATCGTCTTCAGTTCTGGCGCAAAATATGCGGCGTTCGAGCATAGGAGCATGATGCAGATAATGCCGATACTGGTGGCAGACGAGAGTGCATTGAAGGATGGACCGGAGGGAGAGCTGCGTGCTTTGCAGGTCAAGGCGTTCTGGCTGTATGCCATGTTCTACAAGGCGTTTCTGGGGTTGACAGGCACACACACACGACAATTGCGATTGCCTGGCAGCATGCGGTAGCGTGAGTAGTTGTATACCCCACGCCGTTGGGTCAACAAGATTTATGGGAGGCTATGCCTCAAGATTGCACAGCTATTTTGAGGTCGTCAAATACGGTGATGCATCCAGTATTGTGCCTTGTCGGGGGTGCCGGTGCAGGTTGGTGGCGTTGCTACCGAAGGCATTCCCATCGCAGGCATCCCACTGGAAGCTCCCAAAGATACATATGATAAGACATTTGCTGGACAACGTGAAGGAGCGTGGGATGCCGCACCACTATTCAACCGAAATGTGGGAGCGCACGCACAAGGGCACGGTGAAGGGTCCAGTAAGAGGGAGCAATTGGAGCGACATACCTTGACAAATTGTGGAGAAGGAGGTGCAGCGCGAGGTGTACCGCGAGGTGAAGGCGGACGCTGGGGTGGGCGACAGTACGCGTGCGCCTTGCGTGAGGTGTGTTAGGGGGTCTTGGCGACGATGATGCCCAGTGTTGGTAGTACAGAGTACACCGTACACCGGGGTGGAGGCGTGATTCAAACACCGTGTGGTTCGTTGTGCGAATGCGTGTGGTACGTGCAGGCAATCTTGACGAAGAAACCGGTGCTCACGAAGAAGTATCGGACAATGCGGATTGGTGGAGCATCAGATCCAGTGTACGATGAGTACATAACCGCGCTAGGAGATGATATGAAGGGTTTGGCTGACAAGTTTAAGGCGTTGGGTCTGGCTACCAACAGCATGCAGGTGAAGTGATTACAAAGTGACGGACATGTGACGTTTGTAGTCTTACATGATGGTGCTCACCGCACTCATGATGTGCACGTGTTGTTGGTTTGGTGGGGATGGGGTGACAGGTCCACATGGCGGTGGCCATTCCGCACACAAGAGGCGGCAAGCTGGTGGCCAAAGGGACATTTGTGAAGGCGTCGCCTCGAGAGTGGTGGTATTCGGACGTGGCACTGCTCAATGACAAGGGTGGGGACTGGTATGCAAAATGTCAGTGCATTTTCAAGGCGGTTGACTGTGATGGGGATTGGAAGGGGTACGCATATGTGAGGTACTATGAGAAGGCTGGGAGCTGCAACCTCACGGGATGTACGCAGCTGCACAAGACAGTGGAGGATGTGAGGTTCTCGGTGGTGGAGCTGAAAAGCCTGCAGAGAGTGGTGCACGTGTGCCCTTCGTACAGCAACAAAAAGGTGCAGCTAGTAAATAGGTTTCTACTATGCGAGTGACGCAATGCGTTTACAGACAGTGGTCGCAGCTCGGAATTTTCGACCATAAATCACTGCGTAGTGCGTTCTTTATGTGTAGAGGCGCGGTTGGATGGAACTTGTGATATCCAGCGGTGATGTTATTATACACTCGTGCTAAGAAGATAAGACGTTCAATTAGGTATAGGTGTGCTGTATGGTGGTTAAGTTATGAATCGTATAACGCGTACGGGTACCCTTATTCCTTGCGCGGTTGGGGTTGCACAACCACAATGTGTGGTGGTGCACGCTCGGGGTCTCAGGCAGTTGGTTGTTTGGATATGGGTGACGCGTACGTGGCGTCGTGGGGGCGGGATGTCCTATGTGGGCGTTACAGGTGGTCGTATCATAGGAGAGCGTTATCTTTGTGCGACGCATGGAATGTGGTCGGTTGGTTGTGTGGCCAATTTCAACTACTGTACACAGTGTGCGTGCAGGGGCAAGCCGGGGGTACGTTACAGTCAAATGAAACGTATGTAGGAGGAGGTCGTGTGCACTTCAATGCATACTTGCATACCAGAGTGACAATGTGTTACAATGGGTGACCCGAAGGCCCTGCTTGCTACCGCACATCCGGATGACGTGTTCTGCTTCCACGAGATTAATTTTCTTCCCAGCCAGCTGCCGAAGTCGTACATTCCGGATAAGTGCAATGTGGTGGAGCGTATCGTCAGCGTCGGCATCCTCTACAATGCAATGGGGAGTTGTTCCGCAGTGCCTCTGGTGGTGCTAGAGCCATCCAATAGGCCCGAGCGCCGGCGGGCGAGCGCCGCATCGCGCAAGGTGGCCGTTCGGTATACGAACCGCGGGCGGTTGACGCCGGAGGTATGGATTGTGGACTTTGTGTGCAGTTTTATGGTTGGACGTGCATAGCACGTGTGAGTACATCAGGAACGCGTCCATCTCCGATGTATTTGCATAGCGCAATGGCCGTTGGTGACGTGCTCGCTATGTTTGATTCACTGCACACAGGTATTCACGGAGTTTGTGGAGACCGTAAACGGTGTGCACTTCAGCCGTGATTGCAACACCATCATCCTCACCATTCACAAGGCGCATCGCATCACAGGCGAGGTGGCGCCGCCCGTCACGGAGCACGACTTTAGTGTGCAGCACCTCACAAACACCCGAGTCGTCAACATTCGTGGATCGGTTCCAAAGACGGGCCTGCCGCACCTCCAGGGAGTGGGTGATGCGCTGAAGGCGTATTACCGCGTTATGCTGATGAGGCGTGCGTTAGGGTCCAAGCGGTTCCAGTTCGACTATTCGGCTTCCATCGCTGATGTCGACTATAACGACATACTCGAGTGGCTGGGAGAAGCGTGGACTCGTGTGCGCGCGGCTACCATGCAGCGGAGCTGGTGGCGTGCAGGATGCGTGCTGGCGAGCTGGCCGCCCCTGATGGCGTACCTAGGTGACACGTGCGCAACCGGCATGTTTGAGCCTATTATTTCGGTATGCGTCGATTTGCAGTTGCTTATCAAGAAGTTCAAGGTAAGGCCTGTGTGCTACATGACGGCCGCAGATTTTATCAACTGCGACGCGGAACTATGCGTGGAACAGGGGTTCAGAGCCACACCTGCTGCCAGCGCGTTTGATGACTCGTCGGGCGACATGAGCCTGCCAAACGGCCCATTGCTACGGGACGAGCGCAGCAAGAGGCGCGTGATACCCAACGTCACAAACGTGTACGTGGAGCGTGCCGATCAGCTCGGCGTCCCCCCGGTGGCTGTGCCAGCAGAGGTCGGAGCATTGAACTAGGAGGTGATTTCCCACCTATGCAGGACGCCTGTGAAGAGGGCTCGCGCAGGGGGGCGAGCTGAGAACGGGACAGCCGAAGAAGTGCTGCAGAGTGATGAAGTGCTGGAGAGTGATGACGACCAGTGTTGCGTTTGGCAGTAGTGGGGTTTGGTTGTGGGAGTTGACTGTGTGCGGTATCGTACGTAGGGGGGACGCATTGTTTATGTAGGTGTTGTGGTTGTTATTATGTGTGCAATTTTATTTTTAGTTGATGGTGTAGTTTTGGCTAATGTGGATATGAGCACCCTAACAGTGCACACACATGTTGTATTTTGACGCAAACACCAGGTACATCATACTTATGTCGCGGATTTTGGTTCGAACGAAATGGGAGCCGCGAATGCAGCTCGAGATGTAGGTGTGCGCTTCGAGTTTCCTACATGTTCGTGGAAAAGTTACCGCCAAGTCACTTTTGTGTGTACGATGAAGATGTGTGTTTCCGATGTGCAAAAAGTTGCGATTCGGGTGCAATGTTTTTATGCAGCTTTCCGCAACTTTCTCGCAAGGCCAACGCAGAGAAACCTTCGGGGGCCAAAAATCGCAGCTTTCCTTTTTCGCGATGGGGCGGCAAGAGAGGAGGTTGTTGGTGTAAGATGATTATAATTACTATTATGACGTTTCTGCGGCGAGATCATGCTGGAGGCCACCAGGGTCATCTAAAGACCATGGCCCCTCCAGGACATGATCCTCAGCCCAAGGCTCTGGATAGATTGAATTCACAACAGAAGGCGACTTTTGAGTTGACTCAGAAGTTGCCTCAGCAGGATCCATGGGAGAGCAAACATCGTTGTTGAAATTAGTAACGGTATTTTTTTCCTGGGAGGCGGCAGGAATTACGCTGAGACTTTGAGAAAAGGAGGCTGATGATGTTGGGCTATACATTTCCAGATGTGGGAGGTTTTCCAATCGAGACTCGCACGAACAGACTCGCATAAGTCGGCGTATCTGAAAAGCATCTCCAATTTTGGCTTGTGTTCCTGAGAAGGCATCTGAGGAAAAGGTGAGAGATGGGTGCAATACTGGAGGGACATTGCGCTCAGGTTGGGGGCAGGTCAGGCAGCTCTTGCTACGAAACTTTCCCGTTCTTTGCGTGTACCTAATGTTTACTGCATGCTTCCTCGATACACGAAAATGCGCCCTTTGTTTTGCGCGAAAATTGACTTGTGTATTCTGTTCACCTTTTGTCATGTGACTTGATACACCGAAAATCCAAAATATACCCAGCCCCGTCCCTGAACTGGACTTCCACATCATGACAAAATTTGCAGGCTGTTGTTTAACGGAACAGCATAGTATACCATTACTTGCATAAGTATCACGTGATGCCGCCCACCAATGGCATCTCTCAACATGCAAGCCAAATGCCAGTCAGGCGTAGATAGAATACATGCAATGTGTACAGTTGTTCGGGTTGGTGCAATGCGTGTTCATAGTGCGTTACGTCGGGAGAGTGGGTGGCTTAGATCAGAGTGCTGCTGACGACAGCACACGTCACCTGTCATATGTGTCAAATTACAATATTGTGTAGGCTATAGTGGGGTAGCCCATATGGGGTACACATTGCTAGGGTTGCATATTTGTATCACTTCCCTTCATAGTTCATTCATTCTCGTTCTACTTTCCTCATGGTATCGAGCAGGTTCCCCCGTGGGAACTGTGCCTAGGGCCCACCAAATCGAGATTTTTTTTTCCTGCCCGAAGCGCACTCTGCCCGAGTCGCGCTCCGGGCTCTCACCTCGTCGAGCCGCCCTAGCGGCCCCTATGCCCTAGCGGCCCTCTCGCCCTCGCGGCCCCCTCCTCCCTTGGCGGCCCCGCCGCCCGTCTTTGCGGCCCCGCCGCCCGTTAGTGCGGCCCCACCGCCTGCATTGCGGCCCCGCTGCCCTTCTTCGCGGCCCCGCCGCCCGTCTTCGCGGCCCCGCCGCCCGCATTGCGGCCCCGCCGCCCTTCTGCTCAGCGGCCCCGCCGCCCTTCTGCTCAGCGGCCTCGCCGCCCTACTCAGCGGCCCCGCCGCCCTACTCAGCGGCATCGCCGCCCTTCTACAGCGGCCCCGCCGCCCTACTCTGCGGCCCCGCCGCCCTTCTACAGCAACCCCGCCGCCCTACTCTGCGGCCCCGGCGCCCTTCTACAGCGGCCCCACCGCCCTAATCAGCGGCCCCGCCGCCCTTCTCCTGCGGCCCCGCCGCCCTACTCAGCGGCCCCGCCGCCCTGCTCCTGCGGCCCTGCCGCCCTACTCAGCGGCCCCGCCGCCCTACTCGGCGGCCCTGCCGCCCTTCTCCTGTGGCCCCGCCGCCCTTCTCAGCGGCCCCGCCGCTCTCAACTCCTGCAGCGCCGCCCGAGCCGCTCGAGCCGCCTCGCCCAGCCGAGCCGCCGACCGCCGCGCTGCCCTGCACCAGCACAACCGAGCCGCCCAGCAGCAGCAGAGCAGCCGAGCCGCCCCGCCGCCGATCCGCCCTGCCGCCGAGCCGCACTGCAGCCGAGCCGCCCGGCCGCCCACCAGCCGAGCAGCCATGCAGCCGAGCCGCCCAGCAACCGAGCCGCCGAGCCGCCCTCCCGCCGAGCCGCCCAAGCAGCCCTGTCCGGTGAGCACAACCCCTCTGTCACTGCACTGCCCTTCCCCTACTGCTTGCACTGCTGGTCTACTGTTGTCATGGCTACCCCTAGTGTCCTCGCTTTTGACGCTGAGGGTCGAGCCATTGACTTTGAGGTCTGGGTCGATGACCTGCAGCTGTTCTTACAGTGCGATAGGACGGACGGTCTCTCTCTCTTTGACCTCACCTCTGGCGCCTCTCCTACCCCTGCTGCTGATGCTGACCCCACTGTTCGCTCCCAGTGGGCCACGCGCGATGCTGCTGCACGTCTTGCTGTGCGTCGCCACCTGCCTACCACTGAGCGCGCGCACTTTAGTTAGTACAAGAGTGCACAGACCTTGTACGACGCTGTAGTTGCGCGCTACTCTTCCCCTGCCACTGCTGCACTGAGCCGCCTCATGCTACCGTACCTCTTTCCTGACCTTGCTGCCTTTCCCACAGTCGCTGACCTCATTACGCACCTCCGCACTAGCGACACTCGCTACCGCGTTGCGCTTCCTGCTGAGTTCTGGGCCAAGAACCCCCCCCCCCCATATACATCACTCTCTATTACATAGTCACCCGCCTCCCTGACTCCCTTCGCGTGGTCAGGAACCACTTCCTCTCAGTCTGTCCCACCACTCTCACTGTTGACCTCCTAGAGAAGGCCCTCCTAGCAGCGGAGAAGAGCATAGTCGCTGTAGGAGCCTCTCGTGGTGACCCTCGCACCCCCATCTTTGAGGGGTGTTCCCCTTCCCCCCTGTTACCCTCTGTCGCCTCTGCTGCTGCGGCCGACCTACTTGGTCTCGAGTCGGACGGCACGGCGTCTGCCCCTAGCGGGAGACGCTGCTCTGGCAAGGGCAAGGGGGGCAAGGGCGCAGGTGGAGCTAGCGGGGGTGGTGGAGGTGGCGGTGGAGGCGGCGGAGGGAGTGGGGGTGGCGGTGGGAGTGGTGGCGGGGGTGGTGGTGGTGGTGGCGGCAGCGGAGGCGGAGGCGGCGGCGGCGGCGGTAGCGGTGGGAGCGGAGGCGGCGGTGGTGGCGGAGGTGGAGGCGGCGGTGGCGGAGGAGGTGGAGCTGGTCGGGGTGGTGCCTCGCAGCGGAGCGGCTCTGGTGGTGGTCAGCGCCAGCAGCAGAAGCAGCAGCAGCAGCGTTCTCGGGACATCCCCCCTCCTCAGCAGCTCCGTGAGTGGTACACGCAGCGTCAGCATGGTGGGGTTTTTGGTCCGTGCACCTACGAACTTCGCTCCAGCGACCGCGCGGGTGAGCAGTGTGGGGGTGCCCACCCCACCCAGCGCTGCTTTGGCCGCCTGACGGACGCTTGGCGTCAGCAGTTTCCCGAGGCTAGTGAGATCCTCCGCTGGGGAGAGCTGTCTAGGGCTCGTGTAGCTATCTATGATCTTGAATTTGATGCTATCCTTGCTGCCATGTATGCTGTGACTATTAGTGATGAGGGTGACTGTTACCGGTGTTTCCCGCCCGACCCGGGCATTGGTACTGCTGCGCTAGGTGCTCGTGAGGCTGCTGCTCTAGGTGCCAGCGCGTCTGCGCCCTCAGGTACTGGTGAGGCTGCGCTCTCAGGTACCGCGTCGGCTTTGGCCTCCCTCACCTTCACACTTGACTCAGGGGCTTCTCGCTCCTTCTTTCGAGACCGCACCACACTCACGCCGCTTGGTCAACCGGTTGCAGTCTCCCTGGCTGACCCCTTTGGGGGTCCTGTCCTCTCTCACTTCTCCACTGTCCTCCCGTGTCCAGCTGCCCCCTCGGGTACCTTGTCTGGTCTTTACCTCCCCTCGTTCTCAACGAACTTGGTGAGTGGTGCTGATCTGCAGGATGCGGGGGTTCACCAGTTTACTCCTGCGAGTCAGCGGGTGACCCACTGCTCAGACGCCCGCACAGGCCGACACCTGGCCACGTTTTCGCATCGGCCGGGGTCGAGCCTGTACACCCTGACCACTGGGCCTCCTCCTGTCCCTGCGTCTGGCCAGGTAGCTGCGTCGGGTCAGGTGTTTGCTGCACCGTCCAGGTCTGGTCCAGAGTCTGCTCCCTGCTGGTGTCGCCTCCTGTCTCACGAGATTCTCCTGTGGCACCACCGTCTTGGCCACCCCTCCCTGCCTCGTCTTCGGGGCATGGCTTCCGGTGTCCTTGTCTCTGGTCTTCCCCAGTCCCTCCCTCCCCTTCCTTTGGGGCCTGGTCCTTCCTGTGTCCCTTGTGTCGAGGGGCGGCTCCGACTGCCCCTCACTCCTCTCAGTTTCCCTCGACAGAGGCTCCACTGCAGACGCTTCACATGGACGTGTGGGGCCCGGCCCGCGTCCATGGACAGGGTCACGAGCGCTACTTCCTGCTGGTGGTTGACGACTACTCGCGTTACACCACGGTCTTCCCCTTGCGCAGCAAG